ACGTAAAACATGAGGTACAAATGCTAGTCCGTAAGCCAGTGTCGATTGCTTAATATCCTTTCAGGTCTGATGGAGATTCCAACGTCAGATAGTGTCTTCAATCTTTGCGGTCCTGTGCCAGCATCTCAGCCTTCACCGACAATAACCGGTGAACCGAACCTGGAGCTAAGTCCGTCGAGGTATTTCCTGACCTGCCTGAAATCGTTGGCAAACTCCAGCTAAGCACAGGTCACGCGAAATGAGCTGTCAATTACAGTAGGTTAAGTATGAGGTTGAATAGGCAGCAGGCAGCATTTAATGAAATTTATCACTCATGTAGGACAATATAAGGGTTAAAATCTGTATGAAAAAACAGAGGCTTCTGAGAAAAATCAGACCTCAATGTTTCAAATATCGGTTCGAAGCAATCTACTGAAAGCAGCTTGCACGTTTTGATAAAGTTTAAAAGGCAGCTACAGCGAGAGTCTCTTGTCGCTGATGATTCTCATTCTTCTGTGAATCTTGGAAATGGCGATCCTGCGTTAAGCCCTTAAGCAAGAGTGTCTCCACAGCCTTTTACGAATTCCCTGGTTTCTGCCACTGAGTTACGGGACGTCACATTTGTGCTGCAGAAACAACAAATAGCGTCCTTCCACATAACCATGTGCTAGGAAATAACATCAATCAACGCATCAAATTCATTTTTGAGAGCCAAGTTACGGAATCTACCCCTCCTCCCCCACCGCAGAGGCCAGTGTACAACATGGAAAGATACCCTTCGAGTGACCTGCAATCGGTGATGAGTATTTTCCTCACGGAAGCAGTGGATGCCGCCTAAGATCATGTTAATCTGCTTGTCATCATGCGGAACCATATGTGTTATTACAGTAATCCCTAAGACAGCCTGACGACGACACGCGCCGTGTGAGAACGAAACGGCGAACACGACGTCTGAACTTGTTTTAATAAATGCCTCCTTGGGCTGCCGCTAAGTGATCGATACAGTGATTGTGGTTTTCGTTTCATGCCATCTTCTCAGTTGAATATGAGCAACCTCGAACTTGATGACCGTTGAGGTCAGATTAAAAATTATAGAAAAAATGTTCTGATTCTCCGTGAAAGCATAAATTATATTCATTGCTAAATAATACTTCAGGTCTTTGACACAGGACCCATAGTCACACAGATGTTTGAATGATTCATGGTTCAGGCCACCAAATACAACAGACGGTAGAACAGTTTATTGCCACCTATCTGTAATATTTTCTGACTTACGGCTTCGCCGATGGCTGATGCACAGTCGAAAAAATGTCATAGCAAAACGAACATAATCTTCTGATCGAAAACAAGAAAGAACGAGTTTGAAGCGGCGAAATTCGTACACAGGGACAAACGCATCACCAGGTCATGGCACTACTTACGCTGTTGATGTTGGCTCTGCAAGGTCCACATCGGTTTCCGTCCTGAGCTGCATCGTACGCGTAGCAGCCCGGCGTTTCGACCACCTTTGACCATGGAATTTTCGATAAAATCCATTTGTGCTTCCAACTGCATATCTAAACCATGGCGACAGTGAGGCAGGTGACCGGCATGACGACGACGATTTACCGTGAAGCTTCCGGAGCACAGCTTGCTTCCGTTGCGAACATGGCCGGTCCATCTGCCGCGACAGACGATGATGTCAGAGGAAAGGACGATGGCGTCCTCATAGTCGGCACAACCGCCTTGGGACAGCGCTGAAAAGAGGCACAGGTGAGGTGAGAAGCGTCACGGCCGCCGATGTATGAAATCAGATCAGCGATAATAAGCCATGCGAGTGATGTTTGCTCACCGGCAGCGATGTCGTTGCGGAAGACGGAAATGCCGCGAGCGGCTGCGGCTAGGAGAAGGACGAGGCGAAGAACGACCGCCGAACAAGGACCGACGAAAAGGGCGATCATCAGTTCCATAGCTGAGGAGAATAATGACGGCGGAAACGACGAAGATCAGCTGTGATGACGCGGTCACCATCCCTCATTGAGCATGGGCGTTGCGGATTTGTCGTCACCCTGAAAAACAACCAAGCACCGACGTGAAAAAGAATCGAACGAGTGAAAACGAGAGGCAAGCGGCGCCGATAACTAGGGAGTTGGCGCCATTAAATAGATCTTCCATTGAAGGAGGACAGTAGAGCTTTCGCGTGTCGGTCAGTCGGGTGCTCGGCGCCGACGGATCACCAGGCCAGGTTCAGGTGCCAACGAAGAGTCGTTGTTGCAGAACCATGATCATCGTGACAAGAGGACGTGCGTTGGTTCGCTACCCTGCCAAGCGCTCTGCCGATCCACGAAAACAACACCAGAACAAAGCATGTCAACTGCGACAGCGCACTGGTCCATTTGCATCAAAAGTGAGTTAGACAAAGGGAGCCAGAGTCTGAATCGGAGAATGAGAGTACGGGACTGACGCGCGACGACAGAATGAGCAGGAGTGCGTGGATGGTTGATGGAGGAACTGACATGACGGTGCTGCTGGTGGTGGTAGTGGTGGAGCCGAGCCTAGCCGACCAGGGCCGGACCGGGCCGACGACGACTTCCACGTACCACTGATCATCCCTCATCGTCAGAAGGAGGAACAGGCCACTCGCCCTCCCCCACCACCTCGTAGCTTAGCGGCGACGATGAGAATGAGACGACGTGCGCGATGATGACCAGCATGACACGCCGCCACACTCGCACGCTTTGCCGTTGTCATCGACACCACGTCCTCGCCATTCGCTATTCCTCGCCGCCGTCCGACATGATCGGGCGCCGCCCTTTCCTCGTCTCCTCTCTTCTTGACTTGTCTCGCTGTCTTCGCCTCGGTCGCAGTCGCTGTCTTGCTCCTCGCGTAATTGCCAGAACTCAGAAATTGTTTCCGTGCCATAAATGCCTGCCTGCTGACTGTGCAGCCGGAAACCGAACTGCTGATCATGTGCCAACTTCGTCGGTCAGCTGTCCTAAACGATTCTCACAACGCCCGCCGGTGCTCGTAGCATAGGCAGCACCGATCAGGCAACCGACGACGACAAACAACGCCGATCGTCGTCGTCTCCTCCATCCAACGCTTGCTCCTCCACAGCGCTGCCTCTGCCACATCGCTGCTTCCCAAATTTCAGTCTTTCGTCGTTCCTCCTCTGCACCTCAAACTCAACAGAGACGACAAGTCGTATGCCCCGTAACGTGCCCTTCTCCACCGACGTCTCGAACCACAGTATCTGTCGGTGGTCTCGATGACGTCCATCAATATTTCGTTGTTTTGTAGTTATATACCTTCAACTACCTCATTGCGCCTCTGCTTCTCCAAAACTGAAAACGGAAATATATACACGATCGCCTTCATCTGATTCCATTCTGATTCACGTCAAAACAATCCACGCTATGCTCTCACTACTTTGGATCATATATTATAATATGTTTACAGGTGAACGCAAAATCAACAACTACTTTCGAAATGTAAACTTTGTTAGGAACATGAATACAGAGATTTGTCTCAATAAATCACGTTTATTTCCTAAATTGTTATAATCACGAATGATCGCCTCATAATTTGCGATCAATAACCGTACAGGTGCAGAGAAAAGAGCCAGGCTAAGGCATGGGCTTTAGGGGTCAGGGGCCTCCGCCAGTGCAAAAATTATTTCATACGTGAATGCTGAACAAAGTGTAAGTATTCTAAATTATCTATTTAAAAACGGTTCAATTAGTTTATTGAATGTAAATTTGTGGTAGTATATATTATATGACAGTTTATGAGTTTATGATATCATACAGACGGTTTGACTGGTTGGAACTCTGCGAAACATTTTCTCTAATAGTATTTTTAATAGTTTCGAAATCTGTCAGAAATAACATTGGTGTTTAGAGCTACTACGCTGAGTTTGTAATTGTTACTTTATTATATCACTTATATGATAAACTGCTGACTTTAGTGATTAATTTTTGTTCGAGATTTTAGAGCTATCTGGTTTACTAGGCCTTATAACATAGTGTCAACTTGTCAAGCCTATCAGCAAAGGGTTACTTTTCTTTTAATATAAATTTCATTTTACCATGTTTCAATCATGATTAAATTA